AAGAGAATTAATCAAGGCGGATATGCATTGTCGGACGGTGTGAATTAAATTTATTATAATCAGTTATTATTTAAAAAATGAAAGAGTCATTAGTCAAATTAAATTAAAGTATTATTTTTAAAAGGTCTTAATCTCTTCATAATTTTTATATTTTTTTTTTATTTGGTTTATTTATTTTAAACACAAACTTGTTGAGTTCTCATAGTTATTCTGATTCACTACTATAACATTTGAGTTTCTCTTCGTAGAAAATCATTCTATCGCCGGAGTATAGATTTCAAGAGAAGCTCGTTGAGGCAGGAGACTTGAAGACCATTTTGATGAACACAAGCCCTGAGAAGTCCTTAATTTGGGAGAGGCTATTGGACCAATTGCCTGCTGAAGTTGAAAATATATGTATATGCTGAAGCGTGACTTTGTAAACTTCCACTGTTTTGGTCTACCAGATACAGATGGCTGAGTCTCAAAGACATCTGTTATTTAGTTCTCTTCTTTTCAATGTTAGAACTTAATAGAACCTTCCACTTTGGAAGGTAAATTAGCAAGTTTGAGTTTTGTTAGTTTGTAAAGCTATAAGAAATCATATGTGTATATTTGTATAAAGGGTTATTTTACATACCATCCAAAACAATGATATTTATCACATGACAATCTTGGTCATTTTGTAAGCTATCACTATCAAGCCCATGCAATTTTGTGTGACATGATCAACTCATTGGGAATTTGATAAAAATAAAACATATCGGTTTTGATTTTATTGTCCGTGACTGAGGAGATGACGTCGAAAATAATGTCTTCTTTTCGGTCGATGGATTTCAAACATTTATCCGAATGAAATCACCGATAGAAACTGCGTAATTAGCACAATTTCATCTTATGAATTTTGATCAGAAGAAAAATAGCAAGGTTTTGCTTTTGGATTTTGCAAGGGAGAACACAAAGCATCTAATCCTATTGGGCTTCCTTTGTGAACACAAAATCTTAAACTAATTTTTCGAACATCTAAACCTAGGGGCCCCTAGGAGTAAAATTGCAAGAGATTAAGGGGTTTCATCTACATGATGTTTAATTGAAGTGTTGCTTTCGTAGGAAGAAGCTCTCCTAGCCGGAAGAGAGTGACGAGGCCGCCAGATTTTGCCTTTCTCAAAATGTGAAGAAGCTCTCCTCACTGGAGAAAACAAAGAAATGGCTGGAGCTGCCCTTCCCCGAAGCAGTGAAGAAGTTTTCTTCATCGACTTGTCAGAAGTCGTTCGGAGACCAAGAAGATGATCAGAGAAATGAAGGAAAGAGGAAGAAGCTCTCCTTGTGGAAGGTGATGAATCCCTCAAGAAAGAAATCTCCTTAGAAGCTCCTCTCCAATCTCTCTTGCTCCCAAGCTCTCTTCCTCATAAATGGACAGTCGATTCGTTCTAAGTAAGGCCTCCCTAATGGTTTCTTCAATTATAGGGAAAAGATCCAATAATCCCAAGCCGCTTTCCCAATTTGGAATGGGCCCAAAATATCTTCTACGCCATGTTTGGGTGAAGAACTAGACAAAAGAGGGTAGACCAACGGTCATGTCCGCTTTGTCGATGGAAATTCGGTGACTGGAGAACCAAATTCGCGAAGCAGGTCAACCAACGTGGCCACGCCGGGCTCGAACGTGGTCACGCCACTGTAGCAAACGTCAAGAATTGGAGGTCGGTGTGGCCAAGCCATATAGTCAGCGCTCTATTTGGTCGTCGTGGTCATGCCGTGTTTAGGCTTAGTCACGCCGATTGACGAACTTGGGCGCCTCTCGTGATTTGGGTGTGGCCACACTGGAAAGTCGGCGTGGTCACACCAACCATAGAGCCTTTGGGTTGTTTTGGGAATTCTTGGCATGGTCAGACCCAGTTTGGGCATGGTCATACCACTATTTAGGCATGGCCGCACCTGAATTTGGCATATGGTCACGCCATACCCCAGAAATTTCCCGAAAGAGTCCTTTTGAGGAGTTTTGAACCACGTGCAAACCTTAGAGGGTCAGAAATTAGTAAGATGATCTTCGTACCTCCAGAGGAGTTGTGAATATGTATCAAAAGATGTCAAGAAGATGAACTGTATATGTGTCATCAACTAAAATGGTTCTAACATAAAATCCATATGTTCGGACATTAAGCCTAAGGTATCAAACTGGTGTAGGGTAACCTCTTCGATGATCTACGTCGCAGGAATATTATTATCAGCAAGATACAACTCCTATGCCACACAAACGAGCGTCAATACAAAGGATACCATAATTGATGTCGGTTTTGACAACGTCGACTCGGAGCCCGACTATGACGGTGCAAACCCCAGTTCAGCCCCGCATGTGTATTGCATCAAAAATAAATGCCAACAGTTCCTATCAATTGTATCCCAATCCATTCAAATATAAAAAATGATCTGCATTTCTTTTCATACAATGCCTCAAAAGGTGTTATACCAATTTGCTTCATTATTGTTATTGACATAGAAAACTCTACTAATGACAAAACTCATTCCTAGCTAATATAAAGATCCAAATCACGTAGTAAGTGGATCTCTCAGAGTTTGAATGGTATGCTCATAAAGCTAAGTTAAGTCCCTAAAGCTATTTTGATTTGTTTTCCATGATTTGGAGTAAAATCAACCATCTATGTTAAAGATAATGTGTGTGAAACACCCTATAATAAAACTATACTCTCCAAGCATTGTCGAACTAATTTATTTTTCCTTTTTTACTTGATAAATAGGTAAGCAATATGCACTCTTAATTAAGTGATCTATTAATACTTGCATCATGTTATTATCTTTGTGATGACTTGAGTCGTCTAGTGACAAAAGATTGTTGTAATATTATCCTACTTCCATATTGGTGTCAGTAAATTTTGAAGTGTCCCATTTGGCCATTAGTGTCAACCTACATCACTCTATTTGTGAAATGTTTACTTAGAATCTCAACTAATTTATTTTTTTACTTTTCACTGTCAATGAATATTAGTGGCATTTATATATGTATCACATAGTTCTTATGTATGTACACATATAACACTTGAAATTGTATACTTTTATGCATAGCTTAAAATTTCAAATGTATATGCAGACCACTTAAATTTTTAACATCACATTTAAAGACCTACTATTACTTACTTTTGAAAAGTGAATTATGTCTTTTCTTTCATATGTTTATGACACCAAAGTGCTGTAAATGTATATGTGAAAGTCAAGGAGTTAGATCTGTTCAATTTTAAGAATTGCGTGATATTTGTGTAAATATAGAATAAGAAGTTCATATTAAAAAAAAATTACATGGTTATATGATTTGCAAAAAGTTATTTCAATTTGAATTTAAATATTAGTAGATCTATTTAATTGAGTTTAATAGCTTTCAGGTTAGAAAGGCATCAAGGTACTTAAAATTAATTTTTTCCTTAATTCATATGTTGTAGCATTAGCTTTCCTAGAGTGATGCTAAATCTACTGATCAAAATCCTTTAGCAATTCTAGCATCTTTCTTATCAAAAATTAAGGCCTTTGTACAAAATGAAATACTTCAAACTTTGATGATTCATGAAGATATTTACTTATACATTGATCATCAAAGCAAGAAAACTATCAACTCTAAATCTTATGTAGATTAATTCTTCGTATAAAAATTGATTTCGGGTCTGTTTGGGGTAGCTTATTTGGTGCAGTGACATTTTGAAAACGCATCTGGACTGTTTGGGTAAACTGTGTTTTAGCAACTTATGCGTTTTCAGAACGCCGAAAACAACATTTTCACACCGTACCTATCTAAGTGCAGTGGGAACTTTCTGGCAGCGGTCTGAATTTTCAAAAAAAATAAAAATTTGTAATAGTCATCGCACATAACTTATCAACATATTATTCTTAATTAGCTTATCAGCATATTATTCAATAAGTTGCAGCTGCCCCAAACAGACTCTTAGTTAAAAGCATGAGCTATTATTTAGGCATTATGCAAGACTATCCAATCTATATTAAAAAACATGGTTATAAAATTAGAAGTTTCTAGTTATTTTTGGTAAAGCTAAAAATAGTATTGTAATGAGGCACTCATTTAGTTACCAAAATCTTTTTTTTCTTTTTTTCTTTTTTTCATTTGATAAATCCCATTATCATTTGAAGTAGATGGAATAAACCGCAACCGCGATCCCTTGCACGAAGACACCGAGTAGGGCCGTGATTTCAGCGAAGGAAAGCAGCGATGAGATCGCATCGGAGGACGGGCGAGGATTTCGCTGGATTCCCTGCTCCTTTCGCTGAATCACAGCGTGGATCTCCTGCTTCTTCTGCCGTTTTAGAAGGGCTCCTATCGCATTCCTTCTGCGGCTGGTCTGTAGGAAGGTGTAGACTATCTTGCCGTTTTTCTTTTTTTCCATAAACATATCCTTAGACTAGTAATTGGAGAAAGAGAGGACGTCAAAGAAAGTTGATGATCAGAAGAAAAAAATTGGAGGAAGAGATGAGTCCAATCAAATTTGTGATGGAAGGTTCTCTTCTATGGAGAATACACTGGAAGATCGATTCGAAAGCATGAGGAAATTTGAGAGATCCTAAAAAAGGCTCCTTGAGGTGCAATCCAAGAACCTGCCCACAGCTTAATTTGCAAATGCTAACCAAAGGTTTACTGATGTCACAAACCTCCCCTCAGGGCTCGGGTTAGGGTTAGGGGCAGATTAAAGGATATGTCAAATGTCACAAACCTCCCCTCAGGGCTCGGGTTAGGGGCAGATTAGAGATTTATGATGGAGGCAATTGAGTCAAAGCATAGAAAAGAGATTATGCCAGAAGTTTGGAGGAGCACGAAGAAGAAGGGAGAGAAACAGGGAAGGGATATTGCTACGGTCGAGGGAAGGAGTTGTGCCCTCGATAAATGAAAGGAAACAACTGAGGAAGAAGAAGTTCAGATAGAGAAGTTATAGTTAGGAAGTTGAAGATGTCGATCTTTGAGGGGGGCAAGATGCACATGGATGGGAGAACCGGCCAGAGCAATACTTCGAGGTAAATGGGTTAGATTGGGATGAGAAACTCTTGGTGGCAGGATTGTGTTTGGAGGGGAAAGTCTTAACCTAGTTTCAGTGGTGGGAGACTAGATAATTGATTCGTTCGTGGGATAAATTCAAGGATTGTTTGTTGGAACATTTTCAAGTCATACAAAAAAGAAACCTATATGAGCAATTCTATGCCTTGACTTAGGAGGGGACGGTCAAGGAATATAGGGAGAGATTTGAAATATTATTGGGACGACTGTAGGGGACTTCTGAAGTAGGACTGGAGGAGAATTTCAAAAAGGCTTAAATCCAAACATACAGGCAGCACACCGACTACTAAGACCACAGAGATTGAGGGAGATGATGGAGTTAGACCAGATGGTGGAAAACAAGAACCAGATGATGAAAGCCAACATAGCAACACAAATGGACTGTCGTACAGAACAGCTGCAACCATGTCAATGCCAAAAGTCCAAATTGTGGAAATCCGGAGGGAGGTTGCACGGACCACGAATAATGGACCATGACTGTGAGAAACACTCAAGTGTCTTACAGAGATAGAGATTCTGGAGAAGCGAGCCAAGGGATTATGTTTTTTGTGTGATTAGAAGTTATCTTTTTGGTGTGATAAGAAGCGGTTATGTTTTTGGTGTGATGATAAGTTTACTCCAGGAAATTGTTGCAAGAATCAAACATTACAAGTTCTCATAGTGTAGGACGAGGAAATAGAGAATGAAAAAAGAGAGACAGTGGTGGAGGAGGTGGAATACTCTCATTTTTTCCCATCTTGAGGAAAATGTCTTTTGAGGGAGGGGGG